TTTGTAAAAACTCTTTTCATATCAATTAATAAATATTTTTTACATAAACATATAAATACTGAAATACTGAAACTTTTTGCACATTTAATACTTTCTTTTCTTTAAATATATTCTTATCTAATTAGATTTAATTTTATTAAGAAACTCATAATAAAAGTTAATTTGTGGTATTTTAGAAAATTTATTATATTTTATATATCAATTAATAAATATTTTATATATTAATAATTCTAGTCTAATTAGATTTTATTTTATTAAAAAATTCATAATAATAAAATGATAAATAGGTTAATTTAAATTTTATTAGATAGAGTTTGGAGTTTGATAGAGTTTTTTTTTTTTTTTTTTTTTTTTTTTTTTGAGAAAAAGACTTTTCATATCAATTAATAAATATATTTTAATATAAATAGATACTTAAATACTGAAACTCTTTAAACATTTAATAGTAGTATAGATAAAATCTCTTTTTATATCAATTAATAAATATATTTTTATACAAATAAATAAATACTGAAATACTTTGGTAGAGTTTCTGTATTTTACTCTGAAAATTAGATTTTCTTTTATCAAAAAATTGTAATATGTAATACGTGTTAGAGTGTTAAATATTTTTAAAACTATTTTTATATGAATTAATAAATATTTTTATATTTTAATAATTCCTATCTAATTAGCTTAACTTTTATTAAAAAAACTCATAATAAAAGGTAATATGTGGTAGAGTTTTAGAAGAATTATTTTATTTTTTATATCAATTAAAAAATATTTTTTGTATTAATAATTCTTGTCTTGTTAGATTTTCTTTTATTAAATAACTTATAATAAATAAATAAATAGGTAATTTGTGTTAGAGTTTAATATAAACTCTTTTTATATCAATTAATAAATATTTGTCTATTTTAATAATTCTTGTCTAATTAGGTTTCCATTTATTAAAAAAACTCATAATAAATAGATAAATAGGTAATTTGTGTTAGAGTTTTATAGAAACTCTTTAAATATATCTTTGTTGATAGAGTTTTACTGAAAATAAAATAGGTAATTTATAATAGAGTTTTATAAAAATTATTTTATTTTCTTTAAATATATCCTTGTCTAATTAGATTTAATTTTATTAAAAAAACTCATAATAAAAGCTAATTTGTGGTAGAGTTTTATAAAAATTATTTTATTTTATATATCAATTAATAAGTATTTTTATATTAATAATTTTTGTCTAATTAGATTTTCTTTTATTAAAAAATTCATAATAATAAATAGATAAATAGGTTAGTTTAAATTTTATGATGTAGATTTTATTTTAATGAATAAATAAATACTGAAACTCTTTGCACAATGGCCGAGAAAGTAGTACTACACTTGATTTTAGCCAAAAGACCAAGAAAGATTAGCCAAAAGGCCGACCCAAAAAAATTTGCATATCTCCAAATTTGAGATTGTCATCAATTGCCGTTGAGAGTTCAATTTGTTTTTTAAAAAATCGATCAACAATGTCAATTAAGATGACTTTGCTCTAAACAAATTTACCACTTTTTTTCCTAGTTAACACCTTTACAAAGTTTAGTCTTGAATCAAACTAAATGTTGAAACATGTTTATTTAGTTTTAAATCTATAAATTTTTCTATTCATATGTTAGGATTCAAGGATATAGGTTGACAAATTTTTTTCTAAAACATCTTGGTGTGCTGAAAAAAAAAAAAAAAAAAAAAAAAAAAAACAGCTAGGACTAATCATATGAAATTTGCGAATTCTCTTATTTGTCTTTCTAATTTGAAAATTTATGAGCATACATGATTATTGCTATAATTCCTTTAATTTGAATTGCTTTTATTATATGGATAAAGTATAGAAACACCCTCTGAGATTTGCCAAAAGGACAGCCAGATGAAAGTTTGCCTATTTTGTGACAATAACATCCCCTTGTGAAATTTGCCATCCAAACAGAGCCTTAAAACATGTAAAAAGTCCATTTTACTTTACTATTTTATTAATTTTAATTATAAAATATCAAAATATTTAAATGACCAAATTACTCTCAGCACCCAATCCTACAATCCACAACCATACAACCAGATTCTGGCTCCACCACTATACCAAAATCCACAATCACCACCATCCCCACCCCCAAACCACCGCTACCATCTCCACCCAACAACCATTCGGCAAAGCCATCACCGTCTAATTTTTCCTCTCTGGCTGTCTTTGCTCGCCGGCCGCCATCATCCTCAAAGCCATCGCCGCCGGATTTTTCCTCTCTGGCCGTCCTTGCTCGCCAGCCGCCATCATCCAAAGTCAAGCTCACCGTCGCCATCATCCACGGTTGAGCCATCACATCACCATCTTTAGCCTTGCACATCACCAAGCTAGTCGCCGCCTCCATCACAGCTGACATCATTAAAGCTGAATCTTTTTGCCGTCACCCTCATCTTAGCCGCCGCCGATTCATCCACAGCCAAACCAGTCCGTCTCCACCACCCGAGTTCTCTTTACTTGTCGGTGCTGCGCCGCGAACCGTCCTTATCAGCACCGCCCGTCCATCGCTTTTCCGCGTTCTCTGTCACGAACCAGCCCGTTGCCATCATCTCTACCATCGCCCATCACGGCCGAGCCTATCATTGGCCGAACCATCACCGCACTTATCTCATCGGTGACTATGGGGTTCTATGGGTTAATGGAATCGAAGGCAGGCAGCGAATCTAGAGTCGCCGACAGTGGAGGAGAGGCGGCTCGCCATCGTCATCGCCGCCGCCTTATGTGTGTGTGTGTATATATATATATATATGTATCTATATATACATATATGTGTGGGTGTGTGTTTATATATATGTGTGACAATATGTGTGTGGGTGTATGTGTGTGTTTATGTTGGGGGCGGAGGAAGAGAAAACAGAAAGGAGAGGAGAGAAGGAAAGATATGGTTATGGGTAGAAAGGTCATTTCAGCATTTAAACTGGTCAATATAAAAGTCAAAGGGTAAAAATATCAATTTATTATCATTGAGGTATCTTTGGTAGCTATATCAAATTTGAGGGGGTGTCATTGTCCCAAAATAGGCAAATTTTCCTCTAGATGTCCTTTTGGTAAACCTCAGTGGGTGTTGCTGTACTTTACCTTTATTATATTGACTTTATAGTAATTATTGTGAAAGTATTAATTAATCTCAAAGTTCTTCTATTTATTATGTTTATTGTGGAGAAAATCTACAATACTCAAGGGCATTTACATGTGGTACCCCCGCTCATTGTACAGTCATGAAAATTATTAATTTGTCTTGATACACGATAAATGAACCGTTTTTAAGAAAAAAAAATGTGACAGTGCATGAGCGAGAATTACAAAACTCTTATATAGGGGATTTTCTTGCAATTAACTTATAGTTGAGAGGGGTTTAACGCAATTAACCCTAAATTTTATTGATGTTTAAGACCATTCCCTCAAATCACTTTGTCTTTGTGTTGTGTATATTTGTCTGTTTATTATATTATTATATAGAGGGGGGTCCACAGTGAAAAGAACTTGGAGTTGATATTGTTCATTAATTAGGAAAATGATCCTTCAACCGAAATATCTGGTCGATTACTTTAGTAGAAACGATGTGGCCCTGTCTAGCTAGACTATTTCCCTCTCTCTTTCTCTCTCCTCTTTTTCTTTTTCTCATTCTATTTCTCTCTCTCTAATGTCTCACTCATCCTAAAGAAGCAAGAAGTGGTGAACGATCCAACTAGTTCGTCCACGCTTATTGGGTACTGTAGTTCAATTCAGTAATATATGAAATATTTGGTTGGTGCTGCCGGCCATCGGAGAGTTCAATTTGGGTCTCCTCTCTCTCTTAAGTTTCTTTCTCTTTTTCACAAGATAAAGACCCATTTTATCTTACAAAGCAAAGAAGGGTAAAGTATAATCGAAGAGGGAAACATGCAAGAAGTGGTGAACAGTGGATCCGAGAAAAGCGAAAGGAATCGAAGAGGTAAAAATGCAAGTGTTGCGGGAGCTGGATCCGAGCAAGAATAGTTGCCCTAGTAGTGAACGATTCAACTAGTTTGTCGGCACCAACGAGTACGGGTTATGTAATTTGTAGAAGTCGTTGGAACAAAGGAGGGTCGCTAGTTAGGTAGCTGATGAAAACAAGGACGGGTTGTTGGCTTGAGATTCAACCAAGTATATGTATTGTGTGAAAAGAGAAGATCATTTTAATTGATAAGAAGTAAAGATTGGAGCTAGTAGATGAAATATTGAAAAGAGAATAAAACAGAAGGAATACTACACTTAGGTTATGTTTGGTATAGTGGAAAATGAAAGAAATAATAACATTAGTTATGAGAGAAAAGAAATGAAAGAAAATGAAAGGATAATGATAGTCTCTTATCGTATTTGGTTGATTAATGAAAAAAAAAAAAAGAAATGATAATAATCATGTTTATGAAAGAAAGAAAAAGAAACTATTTTAATTGAGTTACTAATATACCATTTACATTTTAAAGGACAAATTTATAGATTTACTCCATCCCACCAAAACCTTTCATTCCCTTTCTTTTCCTTTCCTTCCCATCTCTTATACCAAATACAATTTTTTATTCCCCTTTATTACCTCTCTATTTTTTCTTTTCCTCCCATTTCCAATCTACCAAGGCCTCAGAATTTTCGGACAACCAGCATACATGGACTACAACCCACCTTTGTATATTCATATATACAATGACTTGTCTTCCGATTTTCAAAGTCCCCTTTACTGTTCTAACATTGACAACATTTTTTTTCTTCTCAATAATGAGGACTTTTTTTACTCTTCTAACTAGGACTCTGCACATACAACTACCAAACCATGGTCTGATGTAACAACGCATGATTTATTCAACATTTAGCCTACAAAGTCCTCTTTACTGTTCTAACATTGACAACTCAAACAGGGACTTTGACCTTCTAAATTTGCACTAATCAATAACAGCCATCTTTCATCGTAGACTTTTTATTTTTCATTTCAAATGGCATTAGACATTTTAACACGGGTCCGGTGTTTACATGGAGATTGCCGGACAGATATGGGTTTTGCCGAGGCTTAAGAGCTCATCGGATTGAGCTTAGTCGTGGTTGCTTCGAGCTACACGGTTGGGTCAGTTGAAATTAGGTCGGTGTTGCTGTGCTATGGTTTTGATCTCCCTGAACTTCCTCTCTCGTCTTCGTTTAAGCTTTTCCGGTTGTTAATGGAGCATACACTGTTGGTGTATATATATGTATACATATTCAGGCCATCGACACCACAAATTCAAACTTGTTTCACCGCCGAACACTTTGCCGTCGCCGTCAGACCGCCGTCCGCCATTCTGTTCATCCATGCTAATTCGCTGCGAATTCTGTTATTTTTATTCTTGTTCGCCGGTTCTGTCCATCCGCGCTTCGAGACTGGCGAGGGCGGGCGACGGTCGGGGCCTGACAAGATTGTGTTGATGCATTAGGTGTTATGGGTTTGTTGATACGAGGGTACCGTTGTCCTTCTGTGTTTGGGTGGTGATATATAGGGAGAGGAGAGAGAAATTTTTTCAAAACTTGACAATTAGACTGCCACGCAATAAGCCACAGCCACGTAGATTCTACCTAGAACACCGGTCTAAATTGTCTGCCTGACTATGACGACTCTTATTAATTATTGCCAAAGTCCTTCCGGTCCTCCTCACTCCTCAGCCCATTCCAATCCCTTCTACTTCTAGAGAGAGAAGATATAGAGAGAGATGGATGCAGGTGAACAGAATGAGATTGTCATAGCTGGCGGTGGGATTTGTGGCCTCGCCACCGCACTTGCCCTTCACAGGTTCACTTTCTCTCTCTCTTATCTTCTTCTTTACATTGATTGTCTACTTGGCTTTAGTTTCCTTTTATAGTTTATAGTAAGAAGGGTAAATCTGTAAATGCATACTATGCCAACATTTCTCTCTTATTTGAAAATTTAAAAGTTACCCTACATATTTAATCTCCTATTAGTCCTATATATGCATGGCATGATTTTTAATTAAAAAAAAATTCTGTTATAGCAATTTATAACTTTAGAATACCAATTTTATCCTTGTAATACCAATTTTATTTTTATTTTTATTTTTATTTTTCATAAAGGCGTTTTAAATAACTTAAGAATAAAATAATAATGACAAGTTGAGTAATAGTTTAATTAATTACATTGAACTCCTTTGAGATTTATCATAACGATAATTGTCCTATATATATATATATATTTTTTTTTAATTTAAAAAATTACACTTAAGTTGTCAAAAATTGGTATTACAGAATTTCAAAATTTTGACATCCAAAAAAAATCACGGTTAACAGATGGTAAAATCTGCTACAAGATTATGTTTAATAGAAGAACTCAAGTTAATTTTTAAGTAAGAGCAGAGGTGTATGGCAAAACTCAAAAGACAAAATTTTTGAGTTTTTGAGAAAATTTTTGTATTATTAATTTTTGTATTATTGCTCTTTGAGAAAAGATTAGGGTAATTTTTTAAACAACTTGTAATTTGGATAACTTTAGAGGTATATTTCTCTAGGTGTAATTTTACCTGATTCATTAAAATGAACATAGAGGGCCTAAATTTGAAGTATCTTAATCCTTTCTGTTCCTCACCTATGATGTGCAGTACAATACGTTACATCACATATGTAATACCAAATATGTAATATTCAATCGAAACATGTTTACATCTACCATTAAAATTGTTATATTGTAGAAGAACGGGAAAGGATCTATCCATATTTGAGTGTAATTGGTTAAGTATGTACTACATGATGAATTTGCAGGAAGGGTATTAGGAGCGTGGTTTTGGAGAGATCAGAGACCTTGCGTGCAACAGGGGCAGCCATTGTCATTTTTCCTAATGGATGGCGTGCTCTCGATCAGCTCGGTGTGGGCTCTAAGCTCAGAGAAACAGCTCTTCTTTTTCATGGGTATGCCTCTAATCTCTCTCTCTCTCTCTCTCTATAATATACATATATATATATATATATATATATATATATATATATATATCTATATATAAGTATGCACACACACATTATGTTCATACATTTGCTTATCCTAGCATATACTTTTGTATTTCTCTAAGCCCCAGTTTTGTGCATAGGATACGAGATACATGGCAAGAGAAGGGTAAGCAACGCGAAACACCATTTGGGTAAGTTCATAAACTTTGCGTTCTAATTTAAATCCAAGAACTACACATATATACACAAACACGTATACATATAAACTCCAATAATATAATTATGACGGAAAATATATACAAAGACAAGAAGTTAAAGAACATGGAACACAATTAGGAAACCAAAAAAAAATAGTGAAGAAGAAGAAATGAATTAGATACTTCCCATCAATGAAATAAAATTTTAAACTTTGATAGGAGTGGCGAAGCTCGTTGCTTGAAACGGAGTGACCTCATCCAGACCTTAGCAGATGCATTGCCAGTTGGTACAATACACTTTGGATGCCAAGTAGTCTCTGTAAAATTGGACCCTCTGACTTCTTATCCAATTCTTCAACTTCACGATGGGAGTTCTGTTATGGCCAAGGTATTGTTGCTCATCTCAATTTCACAATTTAACCTAATTACATTATTTTAGGATCAAATTACGTGAACTTAAATTAGAGAAATACACTAATCAGTTCTTAAACTCAAATGAAATGAAAGTGTCATTTTCATTTGGTCATAATACTAAGATTATGTTTTACTCACCATATCACAGGTTTTGATTGGATGTGATGGAGCCAGGTCAGTGGTTGCGGATTTCCTTGGGCTAAAGCCTGCAAAAATTTTCACTGTATGGGAGGTGAGAGGTTTCACACATTATCCAAATGGTCACTCATTTACCCATGAGTTCGTCCGAATGAGGAGAGGGAACATCTTAGTGGGGATAGTTCCAATTAATGACGAGACAGTCTTCTGGTTCGTAGTTCTGCAATTGAATTCTATGGGTAAACTCTAGACTACGCAGATTTACATGTTTTTATGTTTATATTGTTAGAATTTGTGAATGAAATTTATCTGATCAGAATACGCGAAAGGCATCCTTTAAGGTAGTGTCTGTTGGAAAATACAACACCACCATATTGTGTCTTCACTGAAGACATGTTTATACAACAACGTGAATGTCATCTGTGACAACGTGGTGAATATCCTGATGTGAAAGGGTGTTATGTTGTTGTATGCAGAGTCCTGTATATCATTCACATCCATTGATGTATAATCAATGTTTGTACATCAATATACGGTATAAACCAAGAGGTGTGGTAGTTATAGACCGAACAGACGTCTTGTATGACTAAATGTCACGTTGTTAGACTGATAATGAAAATGTGCTATGAATGGAACATGTCCAAAAGACACCAGTCTCTCTATAAATACCCAGACTCTTATCACTTCAATTAGTTAATTTTTCCATTCTCTCTCTCTCTCTCTCTCAACTTGAACCCAATTTAAGCGTGTGTGGATTCAAGCCATATGGCCAAATGGTTCGAACAACTAGACCAAACATCTATAGCAATGAACCGTATTACAATTGGTCCAAGCCAAATGATTTGGATCGAACCCAATTCATTTTTTTTATGTAGGAGAGATTCATTTTTGAGTCAGAGAGAATATTACACAGAAAAGGTTCGTCGTATCCTGAAAGACAAGCGCTATTGAGTCCGTCAGCACCATGCAGAGCATAAATTGTCTTAAAAACATAGTATCTAATACTAGCTTCGGTTCAGGTTTTTTATTTAGTAATTATTATTTTATTGTTCTAATTTGAATGTTTAATTAAATATCGAGTTGCATATTTAATTAATTATTTTAACACATATTATTAATTATTTCATAATATAAGGTTATTTATATCTTAAATGTCAAACAAAACTTATATTTTCCGAGGTATATATATATTTTCCTTTGTAAGTAACATGGTTGGCATTTTGGAGCAATTACTCAAAAGAATGGAAACAAAAAAAAAAAAAGGCTCATTTTTCTGAAATCAATAACAGATGCAAAAGTTTGGGGGGATGCAGAGCTCATGAGACAATCAACTTTGGAATCATTAACTGGTTTCCCAGCAGAATTAAGAGAATTGGTAAAAAACAGTGACCTGAAAACACTGTCTCTCACACACTTATGGTATCGTGCACCATGGGACGTACTACTTGCAAGGTCTCGTAAAGGAACAGTGACAGTAGCCGGCGATGCCATGCATGTAATGGGCCCATTCCTGGGACAGGGTGGCTCTGCAGCTTTAGAAGATGCAGTTGTGCTTGCTAGATGCATGGCAGCGAAGATGAGTGTGGTTTATCCGATGATCAAAAGTGAGAGGAGGCGGATTATGGTCCACCAAGTTGGAGAAGCAATGGATAAATATCTGAAAGAAAGAAGAAAGAGAGTGGTGCAATTGTCAACACAGAGTTACCTTATTGGTACGCTATTGGAAACATCATCACTGCTGATAAAATATGCTTGTCTCGTCTTCATGGCTATTTTCTTTAGTAACGGAATCTATCATACCAGATATGACTGTGGACGCCTTTGATGCACACACTTTAATTTGAATACATTGTTATTTTTATTTTGTTGTAGTAACTTATTTGCCTCAGGCAGTCAACTTTAAAGACAAAAATTATTCAAAATATTAAAAAGATAATACACTAGGAGTATTTATTTATTTACTTTTTCATTTTTAGTTGAGAATGTAATTTTTTTTTTTTTTGAGATTATATATTTCCACACAAGGTATTGTGTATTCTTCAACAATTGCTATAATATAATGCATTGCTATAATATTATGCAGATTAAAGATTTAAAGAATTACCATATGCTCGGACGAGTCAATAGTTTTTCATATAATCAAAAATTTGAAAATCTTTGGGATCTTTCAATACAACATCATGAAAAGTATACAGAGTAATAAAATTTTCATGTTTGATATGGACAGTGCAGCTATCTCATATACATAAATACCCTCTCATGTTTTCATGTTTAGTTTTCAGTAATTTTTAATTCGTAATCATTGATAACAAAGCAAAAGCTAACAATAATTGGAGGTAATTCATATCTTAGGATTTGAATTCTGTGCGAGAGTAGAAGAGAATATCGAAATATTTAAATAAGCGTTTTACATTACTCAAATGAAGCACGCCATTCGATAAGATCTTACTCATAACAAACATCGTTCGAAGATTTGGAAGACTGAAACAGTTTAGACTATTTATAGATATTAGGAATACTGCTTACTAAAAAAAAAAAAATAATAATAATAATAATAATAATAATAATAATAATAATAATAAAAATTAGGATTAATTTTACAGACACTCCCTCAGGTTTGACTAAATATCACCTTAAAACATCTTTCAAAAATTACTATCATTTAGGCCCAATTTATTTTTTTCGTCAGTAACGCTGTTAAAAACATGCCAAAAGATAATTTTACTCTCATTTTTTAAATTCATTTTAAACCAAAATATTAACAAACTTAAAAAGACAAAACTGCCCATTAGTTTCCCGCTAAAATATATGCATATGGAGTAAGCTTGGTGGTCTTCAAACAAAGATGGCAAGCAGCAGCAAATCGGACGACAGTGGCGACGAGCAAACTGGTCCGGTGAAGAATATCGACTAGTCCAACGAAGACCAGCCACAATTCCGACAAGATTTTATCTGAAACAACCATTCCAACAAATAAACCAAAATCAACTTCGACACCGTCAGAACCATAGTCGACGGGTCCTACCACCCCCACACCGGCGCGGCTACGATCATCCCAACTCGCACAGTCTGGTTTATGTAAAATGTTACTAGTTGATATCACACATAAAAAAAATATTTCCATTTATTCATCAAATTCCAAAATCTCTCTCAACCAACAATCACCACTGCGACCACCACCATCCCCACTCTACAACCAGCAGTGGCATCGCCACCACCATCCCTTCTCCAAAACCACCACTACCATCATTCTTCTATCACAAATCATACACATATAAATACACAAACACACCCAAATACAAAGCATTCTCAATTTCTCACCCCCACCTTGCAATCAACGACAGTATAGATATATAATTTGTTCATACCCAGATTCTCTTTCTTTATATACCATGGAAGATCACCGGGGACTGGAAATTAGCTCACTCTCCCCTCCTCCAGCAATCTAAAGATTCTAAGCAGAACAATTCCTTCGCCCCTCCTAGGCTGACTCCACTACCACCAAACCTTCCTACAACTCAACTATATTTTTTCCCCAATTTTTGTCCAAGAAATCCCTTATAGTGCAATTTCTCAAAATTTGGCTCTCTATTTCTTCATCGATGGAGAAACAATTTCAAACAGCTACAATCTCTTCTCTAACGCCATCGCCATAATTAGACCTCAGGTATCAGATCCTTGACGGTGACGCCTTCACCTTATTCTCTCCTCGTGACGATGTGCCTCTTCGTCTGATCACCATAACCTCTCCTCTAGCTGTAGTTCTGGTCTTGAATTAAAGCATTTCCAAGAAAATCCGAAAAAAAAATAATTGATATATTCATGTACATTGTGTCCATGGATGCGAATATTGTGTATATACATAGAGTATTGAAAATAGATTCCAAAAAATAAAAAACCGGAAAAAGAAAATGATATACATGTAATTGTGTCTATATATGTGAATATTTACATATATATATATACACACACACGCACACAGTATAGAAAATAGATCAGAGAATTAACAATCTTTGAATGAAATAACTTGAAAATTATAAAATTTCCTTGAAACAAAAAAAGAATTCAACAATCAGATCGCTAATCTTTAGATTGATGATATAGAAATATTAGATACAGTAATCAAATAGCAAAACAAATAGTTAAAAAAAAAATTATATTTTTTTACAATAGCTTTTTTCATATATATATTCATAAAACACACACATATATATATACACACACACAATTGTAAATTTACAAAATATCTAGGGATAGTTTAGTCTTTTAATCTAATTTTTTTTAGGTTAAATAGTTTTGATAAAGTCAAAGGGTATTTAAATCATTTTAAATGGTGTCAAAGTTTTGGAGGTAACGGTTGGGGTGTGAGTGAAAGGCTGAACAAACGTTTGTAATTTGAGTGATAGTAATTTTCGAAAGATGTTTCAAGCTGATATTTGGCCAAACCTAAAGGGGTGTCAGTCAAATTAACCCAAAAAATTATAGATTAGTTTTAGAATAATCTAAAAGAATATCTTAAGATAGTTACAAAAATTATACAAATTTTAATTGTTCTAAGCATCTCAATACAATTCTAGACAAGTGTAAACTTAGGCAAGACATAGTACTTTCCATTCTTAGTTTTAGGTGCTTCTCTTTCTCTCTTGTTTTTTTGTTCGCATTAAAGCATTCTTCATCATAGTTTTATTGAATGCAAATTATACTATAATTTGTCGTTTATATTCGTCATCTTCATTTTTTTAATAATTATATGGGGCATTATTGACTCATTGTACAATCTCATATTTATATAATCATATTTCCAAACAAATATTTTACATCCAAACCAAAAGAAAAAGACCAATTAGCCCAATGACAAAGTTGTTTTGCAAACTTATCATCAATTAGGTCAGTCTTGGCAACTTTTTATGATCCAGAATTTTTTTTTTTTTTTTTATTTTTATTTTTATTTTTTGTTCACATTAAAAGCATTCCTCATCGTTCAGTGAATACACTTCACATAGGCTCAAACTCTTAACTTGCTTTTAAAAAGTAAGAGTCTAATTTTGCTAGGCCTGGCCTAATAGTACATCATTGATTCATTATTTTTTTTTTTATAAAGAAATTATTTATTATTTTAACAGGGGCAAAGATGAAATATTTCATTACAAATCCTAATTTATACCCAAACTAAAAAAGAATTCATTTCCTCGCAAACGCATTTTGTTACAAACATATAATTGGAATTTTGTGATACCACTCGACTCCGAGACATGGGTTGATCAGGCCCAAGTCTAAACCCGAGAGAATATCAAACAATTAAAGTATTTAAACAAACACATAATACAAAATAAAATAAAGAATAAAGAATAAAGCTAAAAGAAAACTAATTAATAAATCATCATTAATTAATCCAATAATAAACCTTTAATAACAAAATCTTCTTATACCAGTAACTAATTAAAATTACAACTTGAAAATTCATCATGTGGACCCCTAATCCAAAATCCAACTGAAATAAAATAATATCTGAGTAAAACAATAATAAGGAAATCCTACGTTAAGACGGAGGAGTGAATAAATCGTCTCTACTCAGCACGAACAATCCCAAAGCCTGGAACTGACGAACATCTGAAAAATAATGATGGGTCAGGCGCACAAACAAGTTCTAATCTAATACATCCCAAACAGAGACTCAAAACTCATATACATCCTAGTCAATCCAACAATAACTACATAGTCCGTAAATATTTAGATACACACTAAAGGAATCTCACTAGACTATAGGGTTGTCTCAATCTGAATAATAGGCAACATACAAAATGCACATATAGTGGGCATGGGTACCTAGACCTATCAGGGTACATAATTACACTATATCTAACTACACATCCCTGCCAATATACGCACCTGCAATATACGCACCTTAACTATGATCCTGAGACTTAAGCTCATATCATGTCATATAACTATATATATATATATATATATATATATATATATATAATCCGTCATATCCAAATATAAAATAAATATCCGGTATGTCATCCAACTGATTCAGTTGACCTGACATGAAAATATGTAGGATTTAACATTTTAGTTAATCCATTCCGTTATACAAGAATATGTAGGATTTAATGTTTTTAGTTAATTCGTCCCTAATATACCACCATCCCATATTGGTGCATACAATGCATACAATCCATAAATGATGTTACAGTTATAATATCACATCAAATAATCAATACATAGTATGATATAAATCATACAGATATTCTTTTACATTTAATTGAGCAAAATGTAATAATTCTAAGTAGCATGTATTGAATTTATCTCATAAAAATTGACATGCATCTCAAATAATTATACTCCTCCACAATTTGATCAAATTTATTTAAAACCAAATAACTGATTAAAATACTTTAATCCAATTATATTTAATTAATTTAACCTTTTAAATTAATTAAATTTCATACTTAACATGTGTACTTATATCATATTTTTAAAATCCTCCATAAATCTAATTTAACAATTTAAAAATCATTAAAAGAAATTTAATAACATATTGTGAACAGTAGGCAAAATCCCAAACAAAACCCAAACTCCAATACTGATTGGTAGACCGAAATCCTATTCCGGTCTGCCGATACAGCTTTATCGGTTGACCGATGACCAATACCGGTCGGCCAATAGCCCTACTTCGGTCGAACGAAACCCTGAATCGGTCGGCCGAACTCTGCGCTGTTCTTCTCCTTCTTCAGCGAACTTCCTCTGATGAACCTTTATTGGAGCTTCAAATCTCCAATTTAACCTCCCAGATCGTCCCAATAATTCCAACATAGTTCATAAACATTATTTAAACATTGTAAAACACACATCATGTATATTATTTGAATCAAAGGAGAAGAGAAGAAAAGAATTTGCCTTAAGGATTTGATTAAAAACCTAGCCTCCTTCTTCCTCTTCCTTCTTTCTCTCCGTCTTCTTCCTCCAAAATATACTACGTGATTTAATTTTTAGCCCCATTTTACCAACTATAGTTATATATTTATAGGGAAATAAATAACTCTAATCATTTTTCCAATCCAAGTCAACTTAATAAAGAAAATAGTGATATTAAAATATTAAAAATGT